GGGAGGAGATGAGCCAGACAGGGTGAGATGTAGCAAGGATGAAAAATCCAACTTTCCTCTAGGTCCTAAATGCTTCCTATCCCCCCAACTCTCCCCAACTATCATGATCTGAATTCTGCCTTGTGGGTCTGGCTGTAGACCAGAGGGTGTGCACTGGTACAATAGGAACTGGAAACACAGGGAATCCAGGGCGGATGATCCCTTCAGGACCAGTGGTGTGAGTGGCGATGCTGGGAGCGTAGAGGGAGGGTGGATTGGAAAGGGGGAACCAATTACAAGGATCTACATGTGACCTCCTCCCTGTGGGACGGACAACAGAAAAGTGAGTGGAGGGAGACATCAGACAAGGCAAGATATGACAAAATAATAATTTATAAATTGTCAAGGGTTCATGAGGGAGGGGGCGGAAAAAATGAGGACCTGATGCCAGGGGCTTAAGTGGAGAGCAGATGTTTTGAGAGTAATGAGGGCAATGAATGTACAAATGTGCTTTACACAATTGATGTATGCATGGATAAGAGTTGTATGAGGCCCTAATAAAACGATTAAAATAAAAACAAAAAAACAAGAGACCAATACAAAGAGAATAATATGCTTACATGAGTGTTTAAAAAGTAAGTTTAAACAGTATGGAGAATGGCTTAAAAGTAGCAGGGGAGGTTATGGCGGGGGCGGGGGGCGGGAATGGGGAGCTAATAACAATGAGTACAAGAAGGAAGAAAATGTTGTCATTGTGGCAATGGCTGTACAACTCTTCTTGACATGACTGAACTGTTGAATTGCACGATGTGTGGATTATGTGCCAATAAAATGATTTAAAAATATAAATACAATCTTATAATTTAAAAAAGTAACAGTGTAAGCAATGGAAAGCTACAGAGAAAGTTCATACAATTATGCAAATTTGTGATGAACAGCATGCGAGTGAGAGAAATCAAGGTAAAGACGTGCATGGCAAAGTCCTGTGACTGACTAAGAAGAGACAAGTGAAAAGTTAGAGACAAAATGGATTCTGAAGTGTCAAAATGGGAATGTTCAGAAATAGTGATGCTACTAAAATCAAGTTGAGTCTTTCAAATTCAGAAGACAAAGAACTTGGCAAGCAAGATGAAAACTTTGGTTTTGTATATTAAAGCTCAGTGACACAACAGAGCTTTCAATGAAAGCTTAGCAGACAATTAGAGATAGATGAATACAAGTGAAAACCAAGATAAAATTCAGAAACACGTTTAGTGGTCGTTAGTATTTATCATTATCTGGGGAATCAATACTATAGCCGTAGGGGCTTCAAAATCGCCCCAAAAAAGGGTGTTGCTCCATCCAGTAACTACTGAAGAACAACAACATGATCAACTCTATAGACAATGTCCTCTCACAATGACTTAAAATGACTGAAGTTAGCAAAGCAATTTTCGTAAAAAACAAATTTCCATATCTTTGTAGAATCCTATGACAGCTCAGAAGAGACATGAAAAATATTTTTAATTCAGAGAAGTCTTTTCTATAGCATTTTTGGAATTCATGGAGAAAGCGTAATAGTATTCTGTTGATAAAACAAGTTACATTAAAACTTGAATGTATGAATATATTTTTAAAATTCTAATGCCGCTGAATGTAAATCCAACAGCAACTACGGAACAAAACTAGACTTTAGTTGTCCAAATGAACACTAAAGTCCCACAGCAGAGAAACAGACTGGTGCAACAACAGAAAACTAGTTATAGGCAAGGGTTTAACAAAAAATGTTCCCATCCCTCTTGTTACAGAATTACATACGATTGGGTAGAGGGCTTTTCATTTAACGCATCTCAATTTACCATCTCTTTGTCTGTGATTAGGTTACAGAGTTCTAGCCAGGCTCCCCAATGCAAAGGCAAAACATGAGTAGCCTCCACAAACACATCAATGGCCTCTTTCACCAAATCCAGTTTCCGAAGCACCACACCATACCTACGAGAGAAGGAAAGCATTGCAGGAGAGATGAACATACCTGGAAAAAAGGAAACAATCACGGGGGAAACTATGACTTCCTTTCTATTCTAGACATCATACCTTCAAAAGCTCCAAACAACTGTAATACTTACAGATAAAGGCCAAATCCATCAAGTTCCCGAGCCTGGTGTTTTTTGCTGAGCTCCACTCTGAGTTCTCGAAGAGCCTCATTTTTTACTTGTCCTTTCTCTAAGGGACCTAGACAAGAAACAAAGTCTCTGAGCTAAGGGATAGCAGCTGGTCTTCATTTTCACAGCCCTCAACTTTCCCTTTGGCATCAATCAAAATTACATCTAGAACTACCAGCCCAGATTCTGACTGCGAGATGCCTTTCACAACCAAGCTACTTTATTCCAAAAATCACATATTGATGCCTCGTCTGTCATATTTTGCTAGGCCCACACAATTTTTAACAAAGTTTTAAATTACTTATCTACATCTAAAAATCAAGTGTTTCAACTAAGCATCTGAATTCCTAGCTGCAGGTTGCAGGAGCTAAGGTAACGCAGAAATGAGCGACAACCAGCCAGCTGAGATGACCCATGTGCGCTCCAGACTGCAAAGTCTTCCTTGACCCTCTTCACGCATTCACTTTACCTGCCTCGTTTCCACAGATATTTGAGGTTGCAACCTGTGCTTTATAACCCAAAGGAAAGAGAAAAGAACTGCATACCTAGACTATCAACTGTTTCATCATCCTTCTTCTTTTCTCCAGACTGTAAGAGAAAACCAACACATCTTTTGTCAGCTTGTTCTGAAACACTTCTAAACTTGTAAACTGAACCTACTCTTGAGGCCAAGGTCCAACCAAAATGGCATTTGCTTTGGTTACTAATTTTTTTTGGGGGGGTTACTAATTTTAAGCAACTATTTGGGGGCTCCCACTGACCAAATCTTGGACAATCTGAGTACCAAAATAATTAGGTACATAATGAATTATAAGCCATTTTTTTAAAAAGGGAATCACTGAATCTGTCTTGACAGTAAGTAAAGAGATAAAGGAGGGGAAGGCTCTTATTTAGAATAGGATGACCAAAAAAAAAAAAGAATAGAATGACAAGAATTGGCTAGTAAATATGGAGAGTGTGCTATAATTGGTAACTCATCACTTGCAATAGCATCATGAAGAGTGTTTCAGGCAGCTGTTAACAATGAATATCATATCTAAAGGGATTTTTTTATGAAGAATACAATATTTGTATGGTCTTAAAAGAATATTCCAACAGATTGCTTATTAACTGCAAGGGAAATGATAATAACTCCAGAGTGGAGAAACCAGACATCTCGACTGGGTGATCAAAACGATCGCTGGCACTGAGAGGCTCGTGTACTACCAATGCAATGCCCTGAGAAGGGCACATCACTTACATCCTATTGTGGCCATATATGTATAATCAGGAAAAAGTCAAGGAAATACTGAAAACTGAAGAATGTCCTAATTTTTAAAAGAAAGGGGGACGAAGACTATAAGCTTTAAAACTGTCAATGTCATAGAGGTCAAAATTTTAAAAGGTGGTGGAAATATTCCAGAAAGATTAGACACATGACAACTAAATTCAAGTCATGATCCAATATTGTAAGACGGAGGAAAATGCTATAGAAGAGGACACACCAATTGACAAAATTGAAATTCAATAGTAGATTAAAGTATGGTATTAATTTTAAATGTACTGAATCTGCCAAGTACACTGTGGCTACTTAGTATAATATCCTTATCCTAAGAAAAGAAATATTGATGTATTTTTGGGTAAAGTGGTAGGTGACTGGTAACTTACTCTCAAATGGTTCAAAGAAGTAAATAAATATACTATTATGGTTATATATACAAATAGGCTTCAAAAAGTCTGTGGAAAATTCGATTCAATTTCATCCCATTTTTTCACAAACTTTTTGAAGCCCCTTCATATCTGTGTATGGAGAGAGATAAATAATCAAGCACATGATACAAAATGCACATAATAGGTGAATCTGGTTAAAAGTTACATTTTCAAACACAAAGTTCAAAAGTAAATGTTGGCTTTGTTTCTTTTAACTTTTCCCAAAACTTCAACAAGTGCTCCTTCCCTTTCTGCTATAACTTACATAAATTAGTGCTCCTGCACAAATAAAAGCTGTATATAAAAAATAAATTTTTTCAATTTTCAAATTTCTTTAAAATGGGCATCTTATGCTGCCTAAATGACTGCTACTTTGTTCATTATCAAAGAGTCAGGAGAGGTAATTACTCCATAAAGGAAAAACTGTCAGTGAGTTCCACATCCCCTTATTTCAGTGTTAGACATCTAAGATGCACAGGAAAAATGCCCACAGTAAAACACAATGGCTATAAGAATACTTCCTAAGACTTAAGCAAATTATATAGAATAACTAAGTCTTAAGTGGAAAAAAAAAAAACCCTATTAAGTGGCAGAGAGCAAAGTAGGCATTTGTGCAGCTGAGTGGAGGCCAAAAGGGATGGGAGAGCAGTATGTCAGAGTCTAAATAACATAAAGAAAGAATCCTTGTTGAGGGAGGAAGGTAACATGGCACAGGGGGTCAAAAGTCCACACACGGGAGAAAAGCACCTCACAGTCAGGCAAGTAGGGTGAGAAAAGCGTCCATATTTGCCGGGGGTGGGGGGAGATGACTGAGAGCACCGGATATGGAAATTGCTCGCATATAGGGGAGTGACTAATAAATATATCAAGAATAAGGGAATCAAGCTTCTAATAGGGAAAAAGTTACAAATATACAAAAGAAAAAGCTAAAATGCGTCTTGTGATGTTGGGCAGAAATTAGAAATATTATTGTAAAGTCATGACTTATAATAGATAAACCCACTGTGATGGAGTGGATTCAGCTCAAAGTGACTCTGTAGGACAAAGTAGAACTAACTGCTCCTCAGGGGTTCCAAAGTGGTAAATGGCCACACAGTTTTCCTTTGGAGTCATTGGTGGGCCCAAACCAGCAACCTCTCAGCTAGCAGCCCTATGTTTAACCCACTGCGCCAACATGGTGCCGCTTTAATAAGCCCAGAATTAAATATACCTGTAAATGTGTATGCATACCGGCAAGGGGCTTCTAAAGTTTATGGTTAAATGGAATTAGACACTGACATTTTTCTACATATTCTTGGAAGTATTCTTGAATAACCATAGCATATATGGATATATGTATACATAGGAGGGGAGGAGCTTTGAAAAGTTCATGAAAGAATGGTATGCAAAGAGAGTATTTTTTCACAAACTTTTTAAAGCTCCCTCATATTCCTTAATGCAAACCCCATCTATTCAGGCATTCAGGGAGCAGCAACAACCCAGTAGTAATGTGCACACCTAGGACCCAATGCCTAAAATAGAACTGGATGATTAAGTCTTTAAAGCATAGTAGATGCATTTAATAAAAGCTGAGAAGATACTGTGCTGGGAAAACCAAGATGACTCAAACACAGCCCACAAGCTCAAGAAGCTGCTGTACTTGACAATTAGAAGCTTCCCATTAAACGAATAACTGAAATAATTTTTTTTAAAGCAATTTGTATAAATGTTTCCTAAAGTATACAATACTGGGGGTGCGGAGAAGATCCAAGGAGACTGCAAAGGCTGATACCGATACTTTATCCTGAATTATGAGCTACAAATCATGGCCAGAAGGGTACATTCAAGGTCCTTGTGGCACAGTGAGTTAAGCACTGGGTGGCTAACATAAGCAGTTCGAACGCACAAGCTGCTCCCTGGAAGAAAGTGTTGCGGTCTGCTGCACAGATTTACAGCCTTGGAAACACAATGGAATACTGCTACTCTGTCCTCTAGAATCACTGCTATGAGCTGCAATCTAAAGCAGTGGGTGTACATACATTCACAATGGACACTCACTGGTCCACTGCTAAGCTTTGAACGATTAAACTTTTCCCACTGAAGAGAGAGTAATATCGTGAAGTGGCCCTCACCAGGTATCTGGAATACATGTACAGAAAATAGGCCTTCTTGCTATTGCAGCCATGTAGGAAGTGTGCTGCTCGATCATATTCTTTAACATCAAAATAGGACTTGGCCAGGGTGTAGGCATCCATATCCTGGGCATCTTCCTAGAAAAGACAGAAGCTTATGTAAGTGGTTAGGAATAGGAAAACAGAAGCTCTCAATCTAGGAAGCATATTCACTCATTTTATGATCTAAGAAAATATAATTATTTCCTGCTCCCAAAAACCTAATCTGCCTGTCATTTTTCAATACTGAGTAGAGCAATAAGAGAGAAGCGTGGTGGGTAAGCACTGGACTGCGAACTGGAAGGTCGGCAGCTCAAATCCATCAGTTGCTCCAGGGAGAAGCATGAGCCGACCTGCTCCATAATGATCTACAGCCTTGGACCCCGCAGAGGGTCACTGTGAGTCAGCATCAACTGGACAGCAGTGAGTAAAGCAATAAAATTACCATTGCTTTTTTTTTAAGACAGATTAAAAATATCTAAGAAGTATATACAACTACTGACATATTTACCAAGATAAAGGTTATGTATTCATTTATTTAACAAGTAGTCAGTTGTTTTTTTGGTTTTTTTTGTTGTTGTTGTTTTTTCTTTTTTTTTCAAGTAGTCAGTTGTTATGGATACTTTAGTGAGCAAAACAAAGTCCCTATCTTCAAGCTTATTTTTCACCAGCCAGAGATCAAGCTAAAATATATACTGTTATATGATCACCATTTGTCTGGTTGTTTGCTGGACTGTGTTGGCTTGTGTGTGACTGTGATGCTGGAAGCTGAATCACTGGGATTCCAGACACCAGCAGGGTCATCCAAATTGAACCTGTTTCAGTAGAACTTCCAACGATGAGCAAACTATGAAGAAGGAACAGGCTGTCCATTTCTAAGGAATGAGCCCTGAAGACTATGAATAGCAGGAACTTTGTCAGATACCGAGGAGTCCTGGTAGTAAACTGGTTACGCATTGGGCTGCGATTCACAATGTCAGCAGATGGAAACCACCAGCCGCTCTTCGGGAGAAAGACGGGGCTTTCTACTCCCGTAAAGTGTTCGTCTCAGAAACTCACAGGGACAGTTCTACCCTATCTTATAGGGTCGACTATGAGTCGGCATCAACTTGATTGCAATGAGTCTGAGGCTTTTTAATAGCTCATGAATCGCAGCAGAACACTGTCAAACATAGTGCCAGATGATGAGCCCCTCAGGTCAGAAGGCACTCATTCAAAATCTGTCTGAGGGAGAACTGCCTTCTCAAAGTGCAATCAACCATAGTGGTACGCATTGAGTACAGTTTGGGGAACCTCCATTTGCTGATGGAGCACAATGCAAAATGATAAGAAACAGCTGCAAACATCTATTAATAATTAGAACTTGGACTATACAAAATATGAATCTAAGAAGATTGGAATTCTTCAAAAATGAAATGCATAAATGAGCTGAAATGGAAGGGTATTGGCCATTTTGAATCAGAAAATCATATAGTTTACTATGCCGGGAATGACAAAGAATGGTGTCATATTCAGTGTCAAAAAGGATATTTCATATGTACAAATGTGTTTGACACAATGGATATATGGATCGTTCTAAGAGCTTTAAGAGCCCCCAATAAAATGATTTAAAAAAAAGATATTTCAAGATCTCTCTTTAAATACAATACTGTCTGTAGTAGCATACTATCTATCCGCATATGAGGACATCCAGTCAATACAACTATTATTCAAATTGATGCACCAATGATTAAAGCTAGTGAAGAAATTTTAGTATTTTTGTTTAAATTTTTTTTTGAAATTGAAGTATTTTACCAATGTCTTCAGTCTGAAATCAACCACACATGCAATAAAGATGGACTGATAATTACGGGAACTTGGAATTAAAAAATTAGAAGCAAAGAGAAAGAGCAATAGTTGGAAATTATGGACTTCATGATAGGAACCTGGAGATCATGTCAGAATCTTCTAAAACCAACAATTTCTTCATCACCAATACCATTTTCAACAGTACAAAAGCAACCAGACACGTGAATTTTTCCAGATAGAATACACAGAAATCAAATTGACTACATTTGTGGGAAGAGACCATGAAGAAGCTCCATGTGAGGAGCTAAAAGCAGGCCCGAAGCCAACTGTGGAACAGACCATCGATTGCTCATGTGTACACTGCCAAGCGAACACACCGACCTGTCTGGGGAATAAGTACCGTCAGAACGCTCCTGAGAAGCTTCCTCTCACAAACTTTGGACATATTATCAGGAGAGACCAGTCCCTGGAAAGGACAGCATGCTTGGTAAAGTGGAGGGGCAGGGGAAAAGGAAAGCCCTCGACAGAATGGATTGACCCAGCGGCCGCAACGGGCTCCAACGTAACACCTGTGGGCAGGACCGGTAGTCTTGGTCTGTGTTAGATCGGACTCGACAGCACCTGACAACAGAGATGCTGGATGATATGTGCTATGAGGAAAATAAGACAAAGTCAGAGGGTGAGACTGATGAAAGGTGCTAATTTTAGATGAAGCAGTCAGACCTTTATGGTAAGGTAGCACTAGAGTTGAAACATCTAGGTTTTTAAGGAAGAGATTTGGAAAAAGAATATAACAACAAAATAAAAGCCTCATCACTATCAAGTTCATTCCAACACATAGCAACCCTAAAGGATGGAATAGAACTGTGTGTTTCCAAGACTGTAACTCATCACAGGAGTAGAAAGTTCAGTTTTTCTCCTGAGGCGATGCTGGTGGTTTCAAACTGCTGATCTTGTGGTTACCTGCCCAATTCATTAAAAAATCAAGTACAAAGGCCCTGAGACGTACTTGTACTTGTCATGTTGCAGTAACCAGGAGGCCAGTGTAACAAGAGTGGAGTAAGAAAGGGGCGAAACAATAGATATTAGATGGGAAACAGGAGGACCCGATCAGAGGGTCTATATAAAAGGGTTGTCATCATGTTGTATACCAGTGTACTAATACAATTTATAATTACTTTATGTTTCATTTAAGTAATGACAACTTATTTCCTCAATTAAAAAAAAAGTTGGAGAACGATAGATTAAGAAATACTAAAGAGATATGATGACAAATAAATACCATTCATGATTCTTTATTGGATCCTGGAGCCAGCAGAGTCACAAAGAACATTCATTAGGATAATCAGACAAAATCTAAATTGGTCTGCAAATTAGAAAATATTATATGAATGTTAAATTTTATTTCATGTAACGAGGTTAAGTATGGTCTTGTTCATCAGGAGACACCTACTGGAGAATCTGCTACTTTCTTTCAAATAGGTCAACAATCTATTCAGATTTATTGCGAAAGAGAAAATAAGAAAGAAAAAAGAAAAACTTGTTAAAACTACTGAATTTAGGGAGCATAGGGTTTAACTTATAGTGACTCTTCGGGACATGGTAGAAGTGCCCCTGTGGGTTTCCAAGACTGTAACTCTTGACGGTAGAAAGCCGCATCTTTCTCCTGCGGAAGAGCTGGTGATTGAGGCCAGCAGCTCTTTCCCCTCACAGCCCATGATGCCACCAGGGCTCCTACGACTCAGAATCCACTCGATGCAGGGGCTGAGTTCTCTCAACATCCTGATGGGTTTGAGAGCTTTCAAAGTCAGTTGGGGAAGAAAATAAGATTGACAAAAACACACACATCAAACACAGAAACGTGTTTCTACAGATGTACACAGGCTTCGGTGTTATGGGCCTGGACCCACATTCTGAATCCTTGACATCTCGTCTCGCGATATTAGTAGGGAGGTACCAGTGTCTGTGAGCATCCATTGTTTTATTTGTAAAGTGGAGTCAGTAACAATATGACAGAATAGAGCATTCTCTTCCTTCTTCTGACCTATGAGGGAGCTTCAAAAAGTTTATGAAAAAATTCCATTTTAAAAATTCTATTTTTTCACCAACTTTTTGAAGCCTCCTTGAACTATGTTATTAATTATACTCTTTCTACCCCAAGAAAGTTTTGTCATCAGTTACTATTGTTGAAAGTATTTAACAGTTGTGGAGAGAGGGTGGGGTGTAAAGGGGGAACCGATTACAAGGATCTACATATAACCTCCTCCCTGGGGGACGGACAATAGAAAGGTGGGTGAAGGGAGACGTCGGACAGTGCAAGATATGACAAAATAATAATATATAAATTATCTAGGGTTCATGAGAGGGGGAACCAGGTAGGGAGGGAAAAAATGAGGCGCTGATGCCAGGGGCTTAAGTGAAGAACAAATGTTTTGAGAATAATGAGGGCAATGAATGTACAAATGAGCTTTACACAATTGATGTATGTATGGTGATAAGAGTTATATGAGCCCCTAATAAAATGATTTTTTTAAAGTATTTAACAGTTACATACATTTATCTATGGAAAAAAATTAGACAGTACAAAAGTTAAAATATGAAACCTTGAGATAAACTGATTAAATGTGAATAACTTATTCTCATCTTTCTTGGCCTACATATCACCAGCACAAAATTGGATTCCCCCCAAAATACCTAATGCTTTCTTCATTGAGTTAACATGTGCCAAGTGTGGCAATTTAAATTAAGAATCTCAAAAAAGGCTAGGATCTAAGACTTCATATTTGGAGAATTGAAGGATTTGTAATCAACCATGCCGGTTCCTGCTGAAAGCTAGCTGGATGGATACCCATGGAATAAGAGTTTAATATAAGTAACACAAATAAATCTTTATAAAACAAACAAACAAAAAAGAATCTCATGGCCCTTTTCACATCTGCTCACCATTTGCTTACTTGTTTTTCACCCCTCACTGTATCATTTTTACAAGGGGGCTTCAAAAAGTTAGTGGAAATTTTAAATTAACAAGATAAGGGATTTTTCCATGAACTTTTTCAATTTCTTTCATATTTGGAGTAAGAAAGCATCACTGTTTTCAAATGGGAGACAAAATGTCAAGAAACTAGATCATGACAAAAAAAACGAATTATGATAAACATCACTCATATTACATAAGCTATACAAATACACATACTATAGATTATATAATATTTAAATATTGGGGCTTTGACTCTAAGGTACTTCAAAAATTTCCTAAGATAATTCTATTATCTTTTCATTTTTCCACAAACTTTCTGGTGCGCCCCACCCACCCCACACACAATAGATTAAAAGGTGTGGATCAGGGTTGTATCCTTTCACCACCCTTATTCTAGCTAAGCCAATATGCTTTGTAAATAATCAGAGAAAAATAAACTATATAAAGAAGAATGCATTATCAGGATTGGAGGAAGACTTATCAATGACCTACAATATACAGATAGCACACCCTTGCTTCCTGCAAGTCAAGAGGACTTAAAGTACTTACTGATGAAGATCAAACACTTCACCCTTCAGTATGGATTACAACTCAATGTAAAGAAAAAAGTCCTCACACATGGAACAAAACACAATTACCATAATAAATGGAGAAAGACTGAAGTTGCCAAGGAATTCATTTCACTTGGATCCACAATCAGGGCCTATGCATGCAGCAGTCTTCCAGGGGCAAACCTGCTCCAAAGAGCTCTTGAAAGTGTGCAAAAGTGGATAGTCACTTTCAGGATGAAGGAGCATCTGAAATCTGGACAGTGAATAAGGAAGACTAGAGAACAAATGATGCGTTTGAATTACAGTGAGCACTAAACTGCCAAGAGAACACACAAATGTGTCTTGGAAGAAACACAGCCAGAATATCCTTTAAAAGCAAGGAGGGCAAACTTCCATCTCATGGACTTCTTTTGGTTTGTTTTTCCTCCCTGTTTGCCTGTGGTTGGGCTTTTCCAAAGACTATCCTTTCCTCAGCTGTGAGAAGTATTTCTAAGGGCCGGGCAGTCAGCTTAGGTGGAATTATGTGTGTTGAACATCTAGGAGAATATATCATGCATCTTTTGGGAGTTCTTTCATTATGAAGGAAAACTATTTTTCAGTTAAATAGGTCTGCTGGGACACAGATGAGAATGTATCTAGCTGGGGTCTCACCTGGCTATCTTAGAGCATATGGTGGTAGTGGTATGTGAGTGTGTAGTGGGAGGGGGGTTGTCCCTGTTTGAAAGGGTTTCACTCCTAGAATGGAGAGGGGAGACCATTCCTTTGGCCAGGATCTCTGGCTTCCCTTCAGAACCCAACCTTAAGTCCACTGTGGCTACCTGGGGTCAGCAGGGGCGCTACACAGATTGATATGGCAGGAGACAGGTAGCAGTAACTAGGTCCTCTTTTGCCTGTAGTGAAGATGGGAAGTTTCTGAGATTTAGTAGTCTTTCACAGTCGTTCTGGGCCATACTCTTCCACTAGAGGCTCTGACAGAAGGTCACAAAAGTCTTAACATAAGGGATTTCATTCCATTTTCCTTCTCATTTACAAAAAAAAAAAAATCTAATTGCAAAATATTATAGCTAACAGCCATTTCTCCAGACCTTCCAGCTCATACGGAGGCCAGATTAAATTACAAAAAATACTGGTTTCTTCTTCTTCACATCTTTGGACTGAAAATAAAATTCTCTCAAGAATGCATCCAAAAGGGGAATTAAAGTATGGAAACCTGGTTGCTCATTTTTCTTCTCACTATTCAGAGTAATCTATAATCTCTGTCAGGGATCTAATATCACACCGTGGTACCCATTGAAAATTGCTCTTTATCCACCATAAAATGATGAGTCTTTAACCTCCTGTATCAACTAGCCAAAATTCACCACACTGCTTTTCCCTTCCTCAGAAAAACACCCACACTTGAGAAGTCTCTAATGTGGTTCTGTGGCACTTAACTCAGTCTTTAGGTCCCAGGCAACAAATGCTTGATAGCACTGGAAGCATATACTCACTTGGTTGTCACTCTAGCACCTTGGCCAGAAGAAATGCCTCTCAAACGAATCTGAATTAAAAGTAAAGAGAGTGAGAACCTACAGAATACAAAGCAGAGAAAAAGGGAATTTTCTAACAGATCAAGAGGGAGAGAGCTGTTACTCAAGTAGGACTCTAATCAATGGGGAGATCTTTTCCCACAGATGAAGATAGGCCTCGAGGACCTGAACTTTTAAACCTCGTCGGTTTGAAGGCTGTGCTTCGCCAATTTTTCTGTGCCTGGTCTGCTAGTGCTGTGGAAACAAACTGAACCTTCTTTATCTAATAACTGAGGGCTCAAACATCTGAGGGCAGAGACTCTCAACCCTAACCCTTCCAATTTGTTTCTAAGCTTCTGTGGGACACACAGGGCTCCAGGTGGGCCAGGGGTCAAGAATACCACCAGGGAGCCTTTACCAACCACAAGGCAGCTGGGATGTGCCTCAAGGAGTCTCAAGGGTCCCACAACCTCACTGGTCAGTCCCCGGAACTCTAGTATCCTGAGAGAGTATCCAGAGTTTGCTGTTGTCCAACGTTCAGGTCCTGACCTGCTATGTTAGCCAACTGAAAGAAAGTAGACACTAGATGCAAGAGAAACAGAAAGGGCTTTTATTGTCTATGCAGACAAGGAGTAGCACTGCATCTCATGCCCACAATACCTTGGGCTCCCACCTCACTAACTTTGTACATGTTATCAGAAGAGCCCAGTCCCTGGGAGAAGAACACCAAGCTTAATAAAGTGGACGACCACTGAGAAGGAGGAAGACGTCAATGAAAAGGATTGACACAATGATCACAAGAACACAAAAGGATCCTGAGGATGGCATAAGACCGAGTATGGTACATGGTCACCCTTCAGGTCTGTAATTGAACTCATGACCGGGGCTTAATTTTCAGCCAAACAACAGACAGATCTATATGGGGAACAATAAGCACACACCTTAGACCAGGCGTCCTCAAACTACGGCCATTTATCCGGCCCGCCGGGTGTTTTTGCCCCGTTTGTTTTTTTACTTCAAAATAAGATATGTGCAGTGTGCACAGGAATTTGTTCATACTTTTTTTTTAAAACTATAGTCTGGCCCTCGAACAGGTCTGAGGGATAGTGAACTGGCCCCCTGTTTAAAGAGTTTGAGGACCCCTGCCTTAAACTATGATTATGATTTAATTTTAAGATTAAAAGGGCAGCGTTTACCCAAGGAAAAGTTCACAAACATTAAGGAAAAATGATGAATGAAAACAGGAAACAAAACAGGAAGGAAATGTGATAAATGTTGGTTACACTGAGGGGGCTGCAACGAATGAGGTGAAACAAAATGTGTAAGAATTATTGAATGCAAAACTGATGATCTGCTCTGTAAACCTTTACCCACGTCACAACAAATTTCTTTTTAAAAAAGAATGTAACGTGACTATGAACACTTTCTACTTGAAAGTCATAGAATAGTATGTACATCCTACCCTGCCCTCTCTTTTATTAATATAGACAGTCCCAACTTTGGACAGGTTCCATGCCAATGAATACTCTAGCATAAGTCACCTTTTATATAAGTCAAAACCGCATTTGTTTGTTTTCATTAGTGTTGCCTTTTAGTATCCATATCTTTTTTTAAAAATCATTTTATTGGGGGCTCGTACAGTTCTTATCACAATCCATACATCCACCCATTGGGTCAAGCACATTTTTTATTAGTATCTTTATAAACATGAATTGGCTGGATGGCAATGAGTTTAGTTGGTTTGGGTTTTATTTGTCTTTGGGGGTTAAGGATAACATGAGCAAGTGATGTACGTCAACCATGTCTTAGGGCATATTACCAATGATAAAATGTACAACACCCAAAATCAGACAGTAGTAAACGTGTTGTTAACTCCAACACATGGGAAGTCGCAGACTACCTATATGTAATGATGAGAATAGCTAATTCTACAAAGTCCTATGCACCAGATATACTGCTTTCATTAAATTTCCTTGATAACCTTATAAATTAAATTCTCTTAATAATCTATTATTACATTCATATCACAAATAAGGAAACTGAGGCTCAGGAGATTAAGTTGCCAGTGGTCACAAGTAGTAGGGAGATTTGAACCCAGAGTCATCTGAATCCAGGGACCACTTAAGCATGATGATATTTAGGTTCAGACAAAAGTGAAGAAACCGTTTCATACTCCTGTAAAAGCCTTTGATGCTTCTCATAATGACCATTGGTAGATTGGACTACAATTCCTTTAAACGTGTGTATCTTTAGCACGAATTGTTTACTAAATCTTTCCAGCTTAAGTAAAAGACCACCAATCTTTAAAGAGTAAACAAAATTACACATATAAAATCCCTTAAAACATCTATCTCTTTAAATGTTTTAATTCCCTCTCCTAACACTTTTTTTAAAATCATTTTATTGGGGGCTCGTACAACTCTTATCACAATCCATCCATCCATCGTGTCAGCACATTTGTACATTTGTTGCCATCATCATTCTCAAAACATTTGCTTTCCGAATTTTGAGAATGATGAGGGCAACGAATGTATATGTGTGCTTTACACAATTAATGTATGTATGGATTGTGATAAGAGTTGTATAAGCCCCAATAAAATGATTTTTTAAATTGCTTTCTACTTGAGCCCTTGGTATCAGCTCCTCAGTTTCTCCTCCCTCCCTCCCGAACCCTTGATAATTTATAATTATTATTTTGTCATGTCTTACACTGTCCGACATCTTCTTTCACCCACTTTTCTGTTGTCTGTCCCCCAGGGAGGAGGTTATATGTAGATCCTTGTAATCGGTTCCCCCTTTCCACCCCACCCTCCCTCCACCCTCCAGGTATCACCACTCTCACCACTGGTCCTGAAGGTTTTCATCTGTCCTGGAATCCCTGTGTTTCCAGTTCCCATCTGTACCAGTGTACATCCTCTGGTCTAGCCGGATTTGTAAGGCATAATTGGGATCATGATAGTGGAGAGAAGCATTAAAGAACTAGAGGAAAGTTGTTCTGCTGAGCAGTATCCTCCCCTCCAGTAACCACACACTAGTTCCTGGAGCACATCCTTCCACTGGGGGTGGGGTGTGCTCGCTACGAGAATAATCTTACCTCTGTGATAGGCGGCGGCGGCTGCAGCTCGGCCAGAGGCAACGCGGGGAGAGAGAAGGCCAACTCCGCAGACCTGCAACACCCACAGAAACCGAATCAGCTCGACAAGCCTCGGAGGCCAAGAGCCCCTTGCCGACCCCCACCGCTCACCATTTGCTACTGTGTAGCAAGCCTCGCTCACGAGTCAGGCCCGCAATAAGCAGAAGCTGCTTTTTAATTTCTCGCAGATCTGAGAAATCGTTGTTGGCTGTCAGGACAGGCGTTCCAACAGCCGTGACAGAGACTGGCACTGCGGGGAGGATCGCAGCCATTTTCCAGCTTCGGTCCACTACAGCCAATCACGGGCTGCAACACTAGCTGGCCTTCGGGCTCCAAAAGGTCCGCCTGCTATTGGCGGACTCTGGCTCCGGGAAATCCAATCAGAGATCGGTTTTCTGCTAACGTCACGAGGGGGGCGGGAGAAAAGAAAATGTTCCCTTTCCTATTGGCTAAGAGCTTGTGAGCCGGGAAAGTTCGAACCAGAAAGAAAGAAGAGAAAAAGCTGTGCCCACCAGCCGAAAGGAAGTGGGCCGTGAACTAGAACCGGTGAACCGGGAAGCCAGGGCCAGAGGTAGAAGCTGGAAAGAGTGGAGAAACAGGGTGCCTTCCCGGAGTGACGATGTGTTGTGTGCTTTGCGGGCAGAAATCTGGACTGGGCACAGGAAGGCTGCACAGGTAGCCTCTTGGTTTTTCCTCAGACAGCATTAAAACCAGTGGTGGAATTCAGACACTTCGCACCGGTTTGGCAGAGCCGAGACTTAATTTTTGGTTGTGTTCGGCAAATCAGTTGCTAAAATGGCTCTTGTAATCAGGGTTCTCGAAGAAGGTGGGTGGCTCGATAGCTGCCCAATGTGGAAATCACAAATTTTCATTTTTGCTCTTTTTAAACATTCATCTGCGCAACAGCGTATTCTAAAGCACCCTTAATAATGTTTATTCCATCCATAGGTATAAAAGTTCGAGGGAACTATGTTTGTAATATGTATTCATCTCATAAAACTTGCTACATTTTTGGTGAAATACTACATTTTTATTCCACTTCATTAAAAAAATACTAAAGAGAAAAGGTGCCAAACAACCAGAGGAGGGATGCGCTGTCATTCATTCCCCAAATTCCTACGATATATTAGGAGTTGATTCCTGAAAGTGTTCAAAGAATTAAAACTATTGTCAAAACAATTGCTGTACGTTCAGCAGAATCGAAAAGGGGTTCTTTTTTTTTTTCTTTCATCACTGTACTTTTTGTTTTAATCATTTTATTGGGAGCTCTTTTTTTAATCATTTTATTAGGGCTCTTACAACACTTCAATCACATCAAGCAGTACTGGACAATTGCTAACACAATCAGTTTCAAAACATTTTCTTTCACTTGAACTCCTTGATATCAGCTCCCTGTGATCCCTCCCTCCCCCACCTTACTCCCCAGGAACTTTTTTGTCTTTTTCCTACAATAGTTTGTTGTTGTTTCCATATCTTACACAATCTAATATATGCATCCATGTACAATTCTGTTGTTCAATCCCATCGAGTGGGGTTTTACAGTCATCAATGCTATCAACTCCCTATTCCCATCTCCCCCATTCCCACCCCCTCCATCATCCTGCACCGTCAGGAAACCATTACTCCTGTTACTGTTTCTGCAGGGTTATCTATCTTGGCTTTCATGAATTTAATCATCTTAAATATACAAATGAACATAGGCAAATCTAACATTATTAATTAGGTAAAACATTGGCCAATAAAAATCATAATAGTAAGGGGAAGAAATATTAAAGAAGTAGAGGATAGTTATATGGTTCATCAGTGCTATTACACACCCTGGATTTATCATTCCTTCCATGTGGCCCTTCTGAGAGGGACTGTCCAATTATCTTATAGGTGGGTTTTGAGTCTCCAACACATCAACAACACTTCACTTGGATTTGGTTGCTTGTTTTTGAACTTCTGACACCTCTTCCCACTTCATGATCACACTGACTGGTGTGCTTCTTCCATATGAGCTTTGTTGCTTCCCTGCTCGATGGCTGCATGTTTAACTACAAGCCTTTATGACTCCAGATTCTATACCTTTTAATAGCCGAGCACCATTAGCATTCTTCACCACATTTCCTTATGTACCCATTTTGTTTTCAGCAATGGTGTCAGGGAGGTGAGTATCATACAATGCATACATTAAAAGAAACTCACGAATTCACAATTGGTGGCAAAGGCATACATACATCACAGCTAAAGGTGGGAGAGACCACAGAAGCAGAAGCAGGACCATGATTGAGACACATACATTATGTTAGATAGAAGAGTTTACAAGACTGGTCCAGGGTCTTCGGACCAAGACAGTCAAGATATGACTGACAGAACACGACTCATGACTATGAGACACCCCACCACACCCCCCATACTGTCCCCAGGATGGTGATCTCCATCAAGGATAAACCCAAACAAGCCCCTAAGAGAAACCGCCCTTCCCTGAGCTGGCTGGAGAGGGAGTGGAGTTAATCTACTTTTTAATGTACTCTGCGTGAAGGCAAGACTACATCCTTGGCCAATGATCAGAAGAAATTCCTTGGAGGCAAATCCACATGGGGACTCTGCAAGTGGATTTTGAGTTTTGAAGGTCATCCATAGCCTTCTGCAGATGGGATGCTCAGAACTCTAATATAGGTTCCAAGTGTAGCTATTATTATGCTTTTTGTACAGATAAGAAAATAGAAGTGCATGGAGATTCAGTTTCTTGCTCCAGCTTTCACAGCAGTAAAGTGGAAGTGTGCAGGAAGAAATTACTTAACTGGAAAACAATGAAATAAAGCACAAGAGGGGGAAAGCAGCTGACCATGTAGTTATGTCACTCAGAAAACTCACTGCCATCCAGCCCATTCTAACCTGGTAGTATTATAACCCGCATAGTAACCCAGCAGGACAGAGTCCAACTGCCCTAGTTGGTTTCCAAGACCGTAAATCTTTACGGGAGTAGAAAGTCTCATCGTACTCCCTGCATTGGCTGGTGGTTTCAAACTGGTGACTCTGTGAATAATAGCTCAATGAGGGTCCAGATGAGATTCCATCTTACTTTAGACATTATTTTTACCTCAGCCTTAATTCTTCGACGAGCAGCTAGACTATTGCAAACTTTTAGCAGAAAAGGGTGGTAAGGGTAAGGCTCAGGAATATGGAGGCACAGGTTGCTCAAAATGTTTAACAAGAATACTTATGCAGGCATCAGAAGACCCAAAACAATCATATGGATGCCAATGAGGGGGGTTGGAGTGGAGACCCAAAGCCCATCGATAGTCAATTGGACATCCCCTCACAGAAGGGTCACAAGGAAGGAACGAGCCAGCCAGGGTATAGTATAGCACCAATGAAACACACAACATTCCTCTAGTTCTGTAATGCTTCCTCACCTACCCCCACCCCCCACTATCATGACCCCAGTTCTAACTTACAAATCCAGCTAGACCAGAACATGTACACTGGTACAGTTAAGAGTTCTCAACACATGGAATCCAGGACAGATAAACCCCTCAAGAACAATAATGGAAAAAAAAGGGGAGTAGGGACACCTACTAGGGTAGGGAAAGGTAGAGGGAAGAAGGGGGAGAAAGAGGGAACTGATCGCAATGATCTATGTATGACACCCCCACCCCCACAGAGAGGCGAACAACAGAAAGGTGGGTGAAGGGAGACAGCAGATGGTGTAAGATATGAAAATAATAATTTAATTTATCAAGGGTTCATGAGGATGGGAGAGTGGGATATGGAGGGGGGAAAGGGGAGCTGATACCAAGGGCTCAGGTAGAAAGACAATGTTTTGAAAATGATGATGGCAACATATACGTATGTGCTTGATACAATTGATGTATAGATTGTTGTAAGAGCCCCAATAAAATGATTTATACAAATGAATGGGAAGGCCTTGAACATGAGGCACACTGGATGTGAGGAGCAGAGATAAAGTGCCTTCAAAAGTAGTTTCAAGAAACTTGGGTTCAAAACCAACCTAATAACTATTAAGTTTAAGAGGAAAGATGACATGTCTTGAAAACCTTCCATGTTCCAGCAAGCATTCTCTTGTCTTATATTGATACTATTTTAAGTATTATCATTGTTATTAATATTAATTCTCATGTTCTGACAGCAAAACGTCTCTGGAGATGAAAAATCCATAGTCCTTCTCTAAATCCAGGCATAAAACAGCAAAGCAAGCAGGGCCTACATAATAGAAATCAGTAGAAAGAGCTT